TCTGTGTGTGTATATAAAAATAAAAAAAACATACTATCTACTGCGCTAAAGATTTTTGTTGCCAGCGTTTCTTTAAAGCAACAATGGAGATTCACATTTTACAACGTAGTAACAGTGATAGTTTTTGTAAGGAAATGCGAATAGTGCGAAAAAATATATAATAGTAAATAATTATTAAATACTACAGTATCAAAATTTTATAGAATATAATATTTTCTCCAAATCTGCTCCTTTTTATATGAATTACAGGTTACTCCTGGTCTAAACATAAATTGCTAAATACCCCATGTTATCACACCTAAAATTTCCCCCCCAAATTCTCATTACTAATCGCACAACAAACATTCCGTTTCCATCTTTTGACGATAAATTTAAAAAATATAAATAAATTAAACAAAGCCTCATAATAGTTCCAAGTTCATAATCAATAAAGAGATGGATTCATAAGAATTTCGCATTTCATTATCTTCTTTAACAATGAACTTCTCAAATGCTCATTTTTTTTTATCATGGCAGCATATGGTGGTAATATAAAATTAAAGTTAATATGTCCATACAAATTTATGGCATTCAATTTTTTTCTGGTTAATTATTAGAAATAATCCATCCAATTTGAATGACTTGCCTGTTGCACTTACCTGCATTTATTTCGATAGCGAGGAATACCTCTCAAATTACGTTCACAAAGTGCAGGAAATAAGGAATGGGAATTCAAATTGCAGAATAGAGTAAAATCAAATGAGAAATGTTCTTGAGCAACTTCGTTGGAAGTCATTTACAGCATCTTATACCACAAATGCAATAGTGTTTACAGATCGCTGGAAATGTGCTTATGCAAGAGAGAATTCAAAAAATTACATTTGTGTGATTTTTGAAGAAAAAAAAAAAAAGAATTTTCCCCAAACAATTTTATGTCATACTAAACAGAGCATTTAGCACTATACATGCAAACTATTTGGAGCTATTTAAAAACTCAAAAGATTTCTGTGAAAAAGAAATTTAAATTTCGCATTTTCAGTAAAGAGTATAATAAGAGAATCTTGACAGCATTTAATCAAATTCAATGGAACACATGAATCTCCCGTAATGATTAGTTCAAAGCAAAGAAAGAACACTAATTTTAAAAAATTACGTCAGATTGTATTGCTCCCAAAATTAAATATATCCTCTTACCAGATCACTAGCATATGTATAGACAACTGACATAATCTGATCATTTTCTAAAGAAACATTTTAAAAATGGAGTCAGTGACTGAGTGAAGCTGGTTTTACTTGCAAAATGACCCCAACTTCACAGATACATGATCAATTTTTCCAGGATGATGATGAGGACAGAAAAACTCCTTCCTCCTAAAAAAGAAATGAAGGAGCTCCCTAAACATTTTAGTATTTCTATAAATATGTTCAATGACTGGTATTGAACATATGACGGGTAAATTTTATTCTTACAATTTGGGGGCTTTTACACCTTTAGGGAAATAGGCTCTCCAGGACATCTGGCAACCCTGTAAATAGTTCAACTAAAATCAAATACATTTATAAATTGTACAATTAAGTTATAATTTTACTCTGTAGAATATTTTATTTACTTATAAAATATGACATAATAAGTTTAAAAAATGTATGCCCCCCCCCCCTTTAGACTGCACACACACCTATGATTAAGACCATAAAAGACATGAAAAGATTTCTATAAAATTGAGCAAACTTAACTATCATAGTAAATGGTTTTGTGAACTAGAAAAGGAGGTATAAAGTTCCTAATCATTCGATTTACTTTTACCCAGCACATTTTACTAGAAATTACCTGTCCCATTTATTAAAAAGCAACCTTCACAATATGTATTCAATATCTAAGTCCTTTGCGCTTTACTTCAAAGACATATTCAACAATCATAGCTTATCAACAGGATGCCAATTGGCAATTTTCTCAAGAGGGGGACATTCAAAACTCCAAAAGGAGACGAATCAAAGAATTAATAAGCGATGACCATCATTGCTTAAGCAACAGTCTGAATGAATTCTAAGAATACTCTTGGGAATACTTTCTAGTATAAATAAGAAAAATACTTTTCCAGAAATGCACATCAAACTAGTAGGGCGAGCAGGACAATTTCTCACATCCCTACTGTCGATTTGCACCCTCCTCAGCATCATACTTAAATGTTATGAAACCAGGTCAGAACAAAAGTGATTTTGTTTCCAGATACCTTAAGTATTATACATCTTAAATTTCATTACAATAGCAACTGGTATTTTTGCTTACTGTAGCATAAACATTCACACAAGCACATTTCTGTGAATGTAGCAACATCAGAAAGTGAAAGAAAAATTTGGTTTGGAATATACATATTCAATGACCCGGAATCCAAAAAGTATTAAAAAATTAAAGAAAGAAAGAAAGGTAAGCATAATCAAGTAAATGCCAGTCAAGTTTTAAACAAATGGAATGTGTTTTATGTTTATTTTGGACTTTTAATACATTTTTTCTTCATTTTCAGCACATACTTCTTACCATTGTTTAACACACCATGAATGCTCTTCCAACAGGAAAATTAGACTTTAAATTCAAAACCAGACACTACAACTGTATACAACTCTAGTATCTTGGTACTTTTAAAATAATTTTTTCTTTACATGAACTTTGTATAAAAATACTCACTCTTAGGGTAGTTTCTGATTTCACTGTCCAACTATAAGAAAGTAAAATTGGAAGAAATAAGTTGTTTGTTTTTTTGATACAGCCTTTCAACTTCTAAAAAAGCTGTACCCATGTAACATTCAAGCATCAGAAAAGTTCTGTGTATTGGACAGTATTGAACAAGGCACACTTAATTACAAAACTAACCTATTATGTATTCTGAAGAAAAAAAACAAGTAATCACACCGACATTTGGTAAATTAAATTATTTTAGATTCATTAGTTGCAAACTGGATGTCACATTACCACGTTCTAAATTGATATGACCACAATTCATGAGCCAAATTATCATTATGCAATCCATATACAATCTGTCACTTTTCTTTTTTAAGCAACAAGTACTGCAGCACAAGATATAATACGAGATCATACTTGTTTATGAAGACTAGCACACAAAAGACATTCTTCCTATATACTAAACACATTGTTAAACATTTCAGATCTATTCAAAATCCTGGCAAGATAAATTTTGAATGTTTAAAATGCATATGGTATGCTCTAAAGACAGCATATATTTCAAAAAGAACATGGCTGAATATCTTGCTTACTTGCTTAGTACAGTAAAATTAACAGTCCATGCCCTACTCAATTTTCAGCCATATTTTCTTTGAAACATATAGCAGTTAATTCCCACCGCCATGAAGTAGCTGTCATAGGAAGGGGTATGAATATACCTTTGGGTAAGACAGCAGCATTTTGAGTTGAGATTCACATTTTTTTCTATTTATTTTTTTGATAAAAAAAATTAAAATTACACATTTCATTAGAATTCATAATTATAATAAAACTTGGTCACCAACTCGCATTGATTCATAATTTCAGCTACTATAAATACAATGGAGCTGGAAAAATAGTACAAAGCAAAAGTGATAATTTGAAAATTTCACTGTAATTTAATTTAATATTACATTGCAATAAAAACGTTCATGCTAAAATTCTAAGAATGAAAAGTTAAGGATTTTTGTTAAATTTAATTGTTATTTTGATTTCAATACTCTCAAAGGAAGTCAATTTTTTCTTTCAAAGCTAGAAAAAAGATTGCCCTTCAATGATAAAAACTCAGCCTGTTTCATTAGACCTGGTAATATGAACAAAACTATCTTTCAAGTGAATTAGATACTTGGAAAATGTAAATAGTAACATACCCAACAAGAACAGGATGTAAAAGGGCAAGAAAAGCTACAGAAGAAAAAGAAAATAACAATAATAATAATAAATAAATTGAGAAGGGGACAAATTTTCAGAAACCAGATCTCTATATATGTATATAAATATGTATATGAAGAACACTCTTGTGGTATACATGAATGCATATTTTTTTTTGTTGTTTGTTCTAGCAAGTAAAATAGCCTGAATTGGCCATTTCATTTAGATGCAAAGGTCCCAAGCACTTGCCCTTTCTGTATTCTGAATAATTGAGCCAAGACAATGGCAAGATCTGCCTTCCCACAAACCGACACAAAACTATTGTGCCACGCCCCTAAACCTAGAACAATGTATACAATTCAGGAACACCAACTATGCTAATTCTGTGATAATCTATGCACAGAAATTTGTTAAAGGCTAAACAGTATCAACAAATATATACATATAACCACAGGAAACTGGCAAGTAATTGATAGAATGCTTTAGTATTTATCCAGATTCTATCACATTCACATTGATAAACCTTGCCCACATTTTCCAATAATTCAACACACACAGTATGAACATCTCTACATTTACATGAAGAAATTAGCCTTTATAAGAAAGTGCATATACTTTAGAGAGTAATTTCATGGTATAAATTTCATAGAAAAACTAAGAACTTTGTGTAAAGAATATGCATTACAGCAACAACATTACAAAATTAAAAAAAAAAAATTTAAAAATAAATAATAAAAAATCTTATATTCTCACTTCAAATTGCTACATTGTTTTTGTATTTCAGACTGGCTCATCCATCTATAACCTCGCTGACCCCAAATTCTGCCATAAGAATCAAGCATCTGAGGCATCTAACATTTCAGGAAATAATGGAACATCTAGGGATTTTTGACACTTACAATAGTCACAAAAAAATATACATCATATACTCCATATAATAAATATAGCACAAAACAGCATATCTCAAACCTCAAAACTAATCTGCTGGGCCACGGAGACCAGTTTTTGGATGTTTGTAGAGCAAGTACAGTTTTCGATGTACAGAAGTGTGCCCAAAGACTGGTGTGGTCCTATACAAGTATACTGTGTTTTGTGACACAGTTTGTTTAAAAATGGAACCAACAAAAATGAATTTGGCAGTCTTATTGTGCCCTGGTGTTCACAGCAGACCATGTATCTTCATCATCAAACTGGATCAAAGATTCAGTTAATGGTCAATGATGTAATATACACAGTTCTCAGTCTTGAGATAAGATGCTTCATATCACATATGCCACAAATGTTGTGGCACACCACTCACTAACTGTTTCTGTTTGGATGCTTCCCATGACACCACCGTGGCCATGGTAGTGGCCACTCATATTGCCGTGGGACTGGACCTCCAACATTTTGCTCAAAATACTGAAATAACGGGAACCACCAACACCGGGCCAGGAAATTGTTGGGTCCATGTTGCTGGAATAAAAATGAGAAAAAATACTTAATCATTTTCAAAACGTATGAACTTTTAAATATGATTACAAACTCAATCTCTCTTAGTTTTCACAAGCAGCATCCAACTTTCTTTTTACATTATAACATACTTTTTACAAATCAACATTTCAAAATGGAATTCAATTTTTTAAAGAAAAAAACAACAACAACAAAAATGAAGTAAGCAATTAAATAATCATACTATAAAGATTATTTTTTTACATAAATAATAAAATAAATAATTCACACGTTAGGAACCCTTTGCAAATTTATTAGTGTAAATAAAGAATGCTTTGATATTTCAGTCACTGTGCCTTACATTCCAAAGTATACTGACATACTTCAAAATTCTGTTTTATTTTCTCTTGATACCATATTCGTAATTTCTACTAATTCATACACATGTGGATATACTGAGTAATACTTTTAGAATAGAGGAAACTCTGTAATGCTTCGCTTATCTGTCTGAAAAACATTAGCCTCTAAACTATTCGTAGGAATGTTTTTTCCAAAATGAGACGATTGTTTTGATCCAACAAAATGCTGCAATTTTTAAAAGATTTCTTTATATTTAATTTTTTTGAGGATATTTATATTTTCACAAAATTGACTCAATTTTTCTTTCTTTCTCTTTTTTCCTCTTTTCTTTTCTTCCAATTTCTTTCTTGTTCGTCTTCAAATTTCTTAAAGGCATACATTGAAATTCACTTCCAAAAACAGCATACATTTGATTTTCATTGTTGACTGAATGTTTGAAAACTGCCAACATTTTTCGAAAATTTTGGGACCCCTTCGAACAACTACATTATTGAAAACAGATTTCTTATTCAAATGAAATATCTTTAATTAAAGTTAAGTTTTTTTTAAAAAAAATAATAGTTTTATATAATTTTGAATGAAATATGGGCAACAATCAAAACAATATTTTATCAAAAATGAATCTAAATTTCTTTCTTTGAAATTTTTGTACAGATAATGCTAAATGCAATGAATAAATTGACCAAAACGCCATTTTACTTTATTCTTTTGATTTTTCAATAAAAATTTCCATAAAAGGTCTGGTTTTACTCTCTACATCCTTTAAGTCAAATTTCCATTGCAATATTCTGGGAATATGTGGAAAATGTACACTTCCTTTTTAACAAATCGGTGTACCCTCAATGTAAATATTACATGAAAGTAAACTTAACCATTGTGTTAACTGATATGTACAGTAAACATTGTGATATATAATATTTTCTGTAGAGGTAGTCAATTGTGACAACATTATTCAATAATGAGTGCAATATTGAAAGATTTTGAAGGTTAACTATTGTTGCATTATTCCTATGGAAACAATTGGTGTCAAAATAATTTTAAAATGCCAAAACACATGTACAGTTAGCACAGTGAAGTGCTACCATGAGATTAGCTTGGGGCAAGTGAGTCAAAGTATTTGGACACTAAGGCTGAGGGTTCAAAATCCAATAATGACCCGAATCTGTTTCCGTAGTGTGCAGTGAGGGGGGTGGGGGGCATTCCTCATGACATCATGTACAATATCTATATCATAATCCTTCCACACTTCCACCCTAACCAGCTCTTGGCCTGATAGGCAACTGTGTGCTATATTGGTGTTTAATTGAGGAACTGGTTCCCACACCCAGAACAATGGTACAAGCCTTGAGGTGAGGCCAAGGACTATCATGGGCAAATATGTAAAGGTGAAGGACCAAGATGGGTCTACATAATTTTACAACTAAAATTGTTTACTTAAAATTCAAAATATAGAAATCTCAATTTCTACTGAGGGTAGAATGAAAATATTTCATACATTTTTAGGTTTTTTGAAACTAATATATAGAGTAATTTATTTGGATCAGTCTTGCAAATTATTCATTTTATTTTAAAAACATATACTGCAGAAACTACTTCACACAACACAATGAGTGATATTGATATAACTTAACTCTCCAAGATTTTGTCATTTTGTCAAAAGTTGAATATGACCTTATGGCACACAAAACACATCCATGTGATAGTCTAGTTAGGTCCAAACACGATGTAGCATCTATTTAGAAACAGTCATTGTAGCATCAAAAAAGTGATTCTTCACTTACTATACATCATTGTGAAGCAATAGTATATTCATCCTCCATTGCTCTCTGCATCACCTCATGAAACTTCTACTGCTTGTTCTAGGTATTGTCTTGCAAACGATATAGCTTCTTTAATCGTCATCACAAAATCTTTCTAACAGTTTGCTGCAGCCTGCCTAGTTTGTGACTTGAACCATTCTTTTAAATGAGTTTGTTCAGATCAGTAGGGAAGATCGATTTTGAAAAATATCAGCAGAATGGTTTAGTCTCTAGTGTTGATCACAAAAGGACAGACTTTTGCGATTTCAATTTTTCCTTATGAAGGGCCCACAAAACATGGATTCAGACTACACAATGTTTTAGAGGAAGTTTGTGAGGATGTTTTAGAGGTTTTACATAAGAACATTTTATAGACTTTCTCGTTACCTGACAAAGAGTTTTACTGTCGTTTTCCAGTGCACATTTACAATACTTTCTAAACATAGTAAGGACAAGAAAGTAAAATCTGAACAAAAACTAAGACTTATTCAAATTTTCTAAAAATCTGCCTGATCTGACATGGAAGTCTACAGAATTACAATATATTACAATTCCTTTCCTGTCCAAGGCAAAAAATTTGATTTAAAATAAGAACTAAATGTTTGCAAACTGAAAAACTCCGGTTTCTGTTGTGTACCCTATGAGTCTCATCCTGAAAGTGACCCCCAGCATAACAAATTACATGACATTATAAAGATCTTTTAAAAACTGAAACCATTTCATTCACTTCCAGTAATTTATTTAATGAAAGAATAAAGTTTTGATTTCAGTTTGATGCCTTCAATATAAATATGCAAATATTAATTCCTTTTGTATATTGGAGGTGTTTTCACTTTCATATCATTTGTCAACTTACCTTTAAGGTAGGATTATTGGCTAAAGTATGATATATCCAAAACAAAGTAGTTGTAGCATAGTACGCAATGATAACATCTACTGTATAATGACCATGAGCTACAAGCACCAGTATTACTCCTGACACTGACACTATCCACGATACCCAATGCACAGGAAAACAACGTTTTGGTGAATCTGAAAGTCCAAAAGAACAAATAAAAATCAATTTCTGTAATAAAAATAATAATTTACAGGCAATGAAATTTTAAAATTGGTTTCAAAATCTGCAAATAAGGCATGAATATTGGAATGTTAGAAGCATTTACACATTTTACAATTTTAATATTAATTGTACTTACACTCTGCTATAATGAGGTAGCTCATGGTTAACATGACTGTATGCCCACTGTAAATGTAATCACCACAATATGTATGCTTTCCATTAATTGACAGCCCAAATCCTTGAAAAAGCTGCCACATCCTTTGAACAACAACAGCTGTAGATGTTGAATTCAGTTTTGGAGAGCAGTAGTAGGTGACACTTGCTACTGGCAACACCGTCACAAACATTGTGATGGATCGCATCAGGTACAACAGAGCCAAGATAACAAAAACACGCCTCATCACAATGAACCTGCAAAATTGATATTAAAAATTATCATTGTATGATCTTGGTAAGAAAATTATGATTTTAAGTCTTTTAAATAATCCTTTATATTTCATTTTCCTTGACACCAAATTTAATAATTTTTGCCTTAATGTACCCTCTTTTTTCAGATACATAACAATGTGATTACATTATTAGATAACAGCGATTACATTATTTGTAAAGAGTTCACACTGTGATAAATAAATTCAAAAAATTTAATTTGAAAAGAAAAATAATACAGAAGCAACTAGAATAAGGCATTATGAGAATAAGTTTTCAGAATATGAAATTTCCATAATAATAAGAAAACTTTCAATTCTGAGCATGAAATTCTCAGATTGGTAGATAATTCAACACAACTGCCCACACTGTCATGATAAGATTTTAATAGATTTCAAATGTTTTCTGTCAATCATTAACTTACCTGTGCTTGTGAAAAACAAGAACAATCAACACTGCATACACAGAGATCACAATCAACACTTCAGACACACTCAGAGCCCAGTCAATGGCAGGCACATTGTCTAAGAAGATGTCTGGCAAGGGCCCGTATTTTTCTCGATCAGGAACTCTCTCATGAACCATTGCCAAAGAGGTAACTGTGATTAAGAAATTAATCACAAGTATCAGGAAAGCTGGGAAAAAAATGCATAGTATGAAGCAAACATAACCAAGAAAATACAGAATATTAGACTGTAGGCATGTACAAAAGTAAATATAAATGTGCAAAATTGGGCAAAAACTGTTTAAACAATTAACAACTACAATTATTAGCCAGTCAATTATCCAGAAGTAAGTAAAGGAGGAAGAGGTATAGAATTTGAAGATGTAAGTGAAAATAATCATAATTTTAAATCCATCACACACATGAAATTAGTATCTTAGTACTATCAAATAACAAAGGTTAGTTCTAATTTTTTTATTAATTGACAAATGTGAGTACTTTTGTCACATTTATTCTATTTTTATCAACTTCAAGAGACAATGCAGTACAACACAAATTGGTACAAAATTGTAATTTTCAATCACTAGACTAAATTTTAAAAAGTAATTTTCTAGTTAATTTATTACCGATACCTTTGATTGCCATCTGAAAAAATTAATTATATAATGTTTTTTAATAACAAAATTTTAACTGCAACCTTTCTGAACTTTTAATAAATAATAAATTAAGCTTTTGAACTTTGTCAACATTTTTTAAAATTAATTTAATTGTTTGAAATGTCTTGAGAAAGTAACTTTTGTACACTATTTAAAAGATTAGTAATTTAAAGTGAAAAATCTATCTGCAAATTTTGCAAAAGGCCCAGGTCAGAAAAACATGAAATAGGAAAGTCCTAACAAAATCATTAATTGATAGCTACTTGTTGCTTATGCAATTGTTTGCATTTAATTCAACTAACTTTCTATAAAAGCACATTTCAATTACATTTACTTCCATAAGTGAAGTTGAATGAATTATTTAAGAATGACGAAAATGAACCCTACATCTCAGTGACTAACATTTTCACTTTATACCATTTAGATCACTCTTTATTAACAAAGAAAACTTTTATACGAGAGTTTCAATTCCCATTTTGGGATCCTCAACAGGGAATAAAGGTCCATCAGTATCAGATGGAACCCTGGTACTATATGAATAATTGCATTTAAAATTATAAGAAATATAACACATACTACAAAACCGATAGCCCTATTCTTGACAAAAATAAAAAAGTTAAAAGGGAAGATTGCAAATGGAATTAGAAAACACTGTCATAATCTCAGAACATGCAACTAGCTGCTCACTCTCAACGATTAAACAAGGCAGGTTTGGCAGGTCTGCTTTTGGGCATTTGTAGAGAGATTTACCAAGAATTATTCTACAAAATTAAAAACATTTCTTTATTTATTAGAAGAATCCATTTTCCTGAAGACACTTTACAATAATCATGTTATTGAATTATAACTAGAGACAGGATTTCCTAGCAAATGCAAGATTTCATTTAAACTTTGTGAATATATCTTTCATGAAAACTAGTTTTAAAAATGCACTTTTTTGATAGACATGGCAAAAATTTTTGGTGCACGTTTGCATGTTTTGTTGTTGTTTTGGGAGAAATTCATACATAACACATGCTTAGTCATTTTTTCAATTAATACTGCATCTTTGTTCATCTAGCATGTTAAGTAATTTTTTATTACTTTTTAACATAATTTGAAAATATCAAAATTGATGCATATTTTGTATAAATGGCATATTATTCTAAGATACTAACTGTACACAGTTTTCTTTTCTTATTGTTGTTATACTACAAATTTTAACCATCAAGTACACATGCTAGATTTCTGAAGCAAGTACATGCACTATGAGAAACAATTAAGATAGAGGAAGCAATATATCAATATCACTTGATAACTGACATTGGGAGGGAAAAATATTCAAGAACAGACTGTCAGTAAGTGTACAAAAAAGTAAAAATTATAAGTCAAAAAAACTATATTTTAACTTTGAAGTATTGTTCCAATTTTGTCTTTTGATGTAGAAAGCATTTTTTGTGTCAAAAATCATTTGTTTCTGAGAAGGATGAATTTGACAGAATGAAATTGATAAAAATTGTTAATTCTTTGCTTTTATAAAAGGTGATAAAACTGAAAAATTTACTAAACTAACAATTGATTGTGCAAGATTTGTCAATTTTAATTCTGCATTGTGCATGTTTGGGTATTTGATACTGCATGTTTGTGTACACATTTTAGTTTTTGATACATTAAAATCCTGTCTCTAATTATAACAAGTTATTTTCTTCTTCATATTCTTTTATGCATCTCTCTGAATCCTCAAACTCCAATTTTTAAAATTATTAACAAACACCTATTTTCTGAAAATTGACTTATTATCAAGAACTTTTAGTAGTTTCAGCATTCACAAACTAACAATTTTCAGTGAAATAAAGTAATTCAAATATTTATGCATTTCATTATGAAAGCTCACCAACAAAAGTTTTCCACTTCTCCTTGGGAAAGCGAGGTTCCTCACGAAGAGGTGCAGGCATATCAATCTGCACCATACCATTGCTGGCACTGCTAACAAGTCCACCATTGCGGTGAATCGCCAATCCATCACCACTTGTATCATCGTAGTACTCACGAGTGGGAGAATGAAGACCCCCACTTTTGGTACCTCCTGCCCAGGTATCATTTTTGGCAGAAGGGGGAAGCAGAGGCTGAAAATGTAAGCCAAAATTGTTTTATTTCATAATGTCAAAATCAATTTATAAGATTATGACCTAAAATTTTTATTTTGTACAATTTTGTAATCAATAATTAAGTTAAAATGGAAATGACTATTTTTTAATTTCTTTAACAGTTTTCAAGAGAAAACTCATTACCTTATAATTAGAAGTTGAAATGGTCTAGTTCAAATATTTTACTTTATTATTCTACACAATATTTTACTTCAGTATTTCAAAGAGGTCAGGCATCCCCCTCAAATCAGCATAGGAAGTGGTATGGTGCAGAAAGCCACACAGACAGGAATGTGTAGAATTATTACAGAAGCGGACATACCATGAGATGGGCGAGTTATCGCTCAAAAACCACGTCAACACACCACCACGATGCATTTCAAAAATCGAAGACGCAGTATGTCACAATTCACGGTTTTTCTTCACTATAGTAAGTTGCGACCAAATTCGTGTCAGATCTGTTTTGCTTCCCTACACTCTTGAAAAGGTTTTGTAAGGCTCTAACAACATTAACACGAATATGGGCCAGGTTTTATTGCTGAATAAAACTCGCGTAATTACCACTTAAATATTCCGAGAATCTGCACTGAGTCTGAGCATTTATTTTTTAAAGCATTCTCTATAATCACGCGGAGTAATCAAAACTTTAAGTAGTCAATTTTAAGTACGTAGATGAAAGGCACAAATAATACAAATAAGAATTTACGTCCCTAAATTGACATCAATTTTCACGTGAACTCAAGCAAAAGTTGTCAGCTACGTAGCAGCCATATGGTTGAATCTCTTTTGTAAGATCCTTCAGAACAGTTTTGGATAAATTCAAAGCGCAGTGTACATTATCACTCAAGATTTTATTTATTTGGCAATCGAATCTACATCACTAGCTTGTTTTACCTTTCAACCATCAATGTGCTTCCGTCCAGTTCTCTACAGAAGTTGCAGAAGACGCCGCTACTTCGCAAGATCGCACTGATAGCAATCGAGTAAGTCATGAACAGGTCTGAAAATCTTGCGCTTTCAGGCAAATCACATTGACAGTGATAATCTTACAACCGTTTCATTTCGACTACGTTAAAGTAAAAAATGTTATCACAGTCCAAGGTTCCACAGGTGAAACATTTCGTCTACAATTCACCTTAAAACAAAGCTCTGGGAGTTTAATTGTTGCTTAACTTGCTTAACGATTCCCATCATATTAAAGCAATAAGCAGTGATATTCAATCTACTTATATTTAATACTATTTATCTCCTAAGGATTGACAAAAATATTTCTTGTGTAAAACAAGGGCGGGGAAAGGATGGACAGGGGCCATGCTCTCCCCCAGGTTAGTTTTTTAGAGGGGATTTTATACAAGTTTAACGATTTCATTCTTTCATTCAACGTTGAAACAATTATAGACTATTTTTGGATCCGCCCTTGGGGTAAAAAACAGTAATTCATAAAATTATGCGAAGTTCTGAAGTGTAAACCCGTTTTATCACAGCTCACGCCAGTGAAGAAAAGCAATAAGCCATACTAAAAAATACTATTCAAAGCAATGGAGAGCGCTAATTAGCCGTTCAGGCTTTGCCATTAATATCTGCATGAAGGATAGACTAAAGTTTCTAGCCCAAGATAGGTTCCGTAATCTCTGGCACGAATCACGGTACCTCTTATCTGGGGATTCTTCTTGGATATGCAAGTCAAATTTCGCGGATCCAACTTAAGTGTCGCCGCTAGGGTGCGTTGCAAGTCATTGTGCGATACAAGCTAAAGCTGTCTAGAGAAGCACGCAAGTAAAATGGCGAAGAGCTACGACCGTGGGCTGAATACCTTCACTTCAGAATGTTGCCCAAGGAAATCGTGGATGATATGGAAAGACCTTAGGGCAGTGTTCAGTCTTACGAAACGGCGAAAAATGGGTGGCCCATTTCAAAATGGAAAAATGGTGGGCGGCCATACGTACATCCGACAAATTCTACTCTCCTTCATGCCCTAGCACCACTACCTTCCACCTGCTGAGAAGAAAAACAAACCTCGCGCCTCGCATCCGATCTCGCTTCCCGAAGGACCTCCATCGCCCTCCATAGAAATGCAGACCTCCACTTTCATCTACCATAAGCCACTCTTATCCATACTCTTCAAATCCTGACGCACACCATTCCAATTCTAAAAATTGTGAAAATTGATTTTACAACTGTGGGGTACGCCTTACCGCATTCGCCTGCGGTTGTCCGAACAACTAAGTTCATGGAAGTAAACTTAAAACCCCCGAAAGGCTTCAGCCGAACGGGTGGCTAATAAATATTTTAAAAAATATGTTTATTAAATTGCGGGTCGTGCTTCCTTTCAGATGTTGGCGGTTCTAATAAGTTGCCGTCAAAGCTCTCGTTTTAGGCGCTTAGTTCGGCCTCCGTGGTTCGGCCCGCGCGTTTCTATGATTTTGCATATTTTTATCATACGCATCATCCGAGGCAAGTGAAATTTCTTGACATTCGGTTACAATTGGATACTTAGTAAATTTATATGTTGGTGCATATTTGGTATATTTTTCCTGTTTGTGCCTATTCGTGTAATTATAGGGACATATTTTGCATATTTCGTTAAAAAAGAGACATCTATAAAACATTTCGTTTCATACGATCTATTTATGTGTTAGATCGATTTGTTCATCGATTACAAAGAGATTGTCACAGTTTGCGTTTATTTCTTTTGATAAAATACTTGTGTATCAAATGTAGGAAATTTCTTGATATATTTTGTTCCAACCAAGCAACCTGGAGAAATATTAGTTGACAGTTGAGGCAGTTTCCAGTGTTTACATCTTAAAAATGAAAGAATGTAAATATGCCGTCCCCTTTACCCAGAAATTTATTAATTTCTACATAACATATTTTACTAGTAAATAATAAATACAAGGAAAATTAAATTATAACGTATATGAGTCACATGCGTCTTTAACCCGTTAACAGGCAACCGTACAGTCCAGTACAGAGTTTGTTGAGTGCACTTGTGCCTACCTCTACGTTAAGAAATTTAACATCTTTAGCAACACGTTTAACATTGTAAATAAACAACTATTATTTCATTGCAAGTCAACAGTTTAATAAGAAAAAAAGCATGGCGGTGTACAAAACAAATCCGATTCAAACGAATCTCAATAAAAGTAACTCAGTTTTGGGGATAATTATTAAATGGAATATTATTAATAGTACAATTATCAAAATGAATAGTAGATAAATTAACATTTTCTGGGAATCCACCAAATGAAACTTCTCCATAAATAATACTGACTATGTGAATGTGCACCTAATTGAATAATCAACCCACAATAAAGTTGCCTTATATGCCTGTGACTTTGTAAAACAAAACTTAAGAAAAAGGTTTGTCTCTATTATGTCTGATATGCCTTCTAATATCGAGCTTTCGATTTTCTGTGATCAAATCCTGAGGGGCTTCTGCAACTGCGTCGAAAGTTTCTTTAGCCACCGAAGAATTAATTATTTGCGGCCATCTTTCTCGAATCGCGGGATATGAATATTGTTTAAATAGATATATCGTAAGCAACACCCCTCAATTTAATATCCAAGGGGCCGCAGCAAAACATTTCGTTTACTATCGCAGTAATGAAAGTTTCTCATAAATCTTGAGATATGATGGACCCATAAAATTCCGAACACACCATGAAATGTTTATTACTGCAGAGGTCATAAGTTAAAAGTCGGGGCGGGACGAAGCGGAGTGGAAATTTTTAATCTGGACGAGGCAGTAATAAACACTTACAACATTCCTGAGTATGTTGTAATAGATGTAATTATTAAATCAATATAAATGATTTAATATCTTCGTGGTTTCAGCCGTCTTGTGGTAGTTCATATTATAGTACAGATGTACGATTTAATTTTCAGAAAATTCCAAGGATGCGAGTCTGCTTGGAAAGCCTCTTCCCCACACTGCCAGGTTAAAAAACCAGGGATCAAAAATATTAACAGAAATACTCGCGTTATAATATAAGTCTTTGGAACTGATCCCATTCAAAATTTTAAGGAAAGCCACTTCGCGCCCTCCTTCGCGGACGCCTATGAGAACACTAATTTGTACAAATGTTATAGACTTATGACTTACTGTATGTAACTGTCGTGTAAGACCAAACGAAACATGCACATCCCCTCCTTCAAATTTTAAAGAAAGACTTTATCCATACTTTCTTGGACTAGGTTAGAAAACCAAGGAAATTTACCAGAAAGGTTTAAAAACCATTAAAAAAAACAACCGAATTCCTGTGCATGTGCTGGAGGAAGACTTTTCAAGAATCACGCTTCCCAATGGTGAAATGGGTTGACAGAAGTACGTTTTAACAGATAGCCCGATCGAATTTCGATACGAAACAAATTTACATGGTACACGTAATTTCGTTTAGAGGAGTTGATCTACACCTTTTGTATGACCCGATTAAAACAAATTGGTGATTGACCGTTGTGCTTCTGAAGTTTTTGCTTCATACAATATGAGTATGATTTGGTTACTTTTATAAGTATTTATTTCAAGTGCTTAGTTTCGTGTCCAGGGAACACGTGCTCAGTGATGCGCAATCTATCAGCGTCCCTCCTTTCGAATCGCAACTGCCAATCACTAACTTCTTTTAATCGGACCATCGTTAGCAAGTGAACCAAACTAGCAATTAACTTAGATACAGTATGATATTGGCCACAGGGAAGGGTGAAAGATGACTGAAGTCTGACATCTGAAGACTGACATTTTGCAAAATTATGATAGACTTCTTACAAACGGGATGGAATCATCTAAATTTTAAGTTTTTAGAACAAAATACAATAAAAAATTCATTCAAACGGTATGTGCAGCTCAGTCTGTATTGTTAAAATGGTCAACGGACTTTCCGTGAAATGTCAGTTTTTGCGCCCGAACGGCTCAAATGTCATTAAGTAAATGTAAAAGTATTTACATACGACCATTTAATTATATATGCAATATAGTTACTGCAGTATATTTAATCGACCAAGGACATCACCCCGTGGACTCCCGTTCGGAACCCACGGCCTGTTGATCAATCACATTCCTAGAATTTTCGGAATGCGCAGGTAGAAATGCATTCTTTTTTGCAATTCGAGCTTCTTTTGAACCGCGGTAGGCAATTGAATTATTTTGTAGTTTCATGTATTAATGGCGCAACTTTTCTTCAACGATGATCTTGCTTCCCCTATCAGGCACAATAAAAAGTTGAAGGCAATGGATCGCAGCGAGAACTGATGACAACATTCCAACCACATCTTAACTGGCGTGAAATAGAAATTATTGTTGAAGAATATACTAGTAAGTAGTTAGGTGGAAGTGCCTTATGGCCCGAGCCTCGCCAGAAATAATTTCTTTTTGAAAAAATACAATGTACCCTACTACTTTTTAAAGGAT